AACGGCTGTTGCAGTCCTCTGCATTGCCACACCAAGTTTGTTATTGCTTTTCTGGAAGCTATGAAATTTTTGAAACTGATTGTATGGCTGATACCCAGCTGTTTTTGTGAAAATCGCCCATTAACTTTTTCGTATTTGAAATAATCACTTTTATTTAGCTTTTGTGATTTTTGGAGAACCAGAATTCTAGAAAATCTCCATATTCCTGAGATTTTTTGTTTTCGAATATTAAACTGAAAGTCATAGGAGCAGCAGTTCATATTTTTAATAGTCACACGGGGAACGGTCCTTCAGCCCTAAACAAAGACAGAGCTTTGAGTGCGAGCGGGGACAGGAATCATCAGTACAGCCTTCTACTGCTGTCTGTCAACTGTACATTTAATTAGTTTGGAAGACTAGAGTAACAAAGGAGAAAAAATACTTTTTTAATAAGTAGTCTTTCCTTCTATGACCGGTGTGAAAGTATGGCATTACGCAGGAAAGATCGCTGAACAGGTGGGCCGAAAAATAACACCATTAAAAGTAGCTTTCCAAAGCAAGACATATTTCAGCGACACTGACAGGCGGTGAAGTGGGATTAATGCTAGTTTATGCAATCCAGCTAATTGGTCATTTCTCATGGATTATGCGTCAGAGTGCTGAATTACAAAACGGGGTTAGCTGTCATTATCTTTATACATTTCTGATAGCCGAATTATTTGGAACAGCTATTAATTCATAGTTTGATTTTCCAGCTTCTTAGCGATCCTGGCGCTCGTTCCATAAACTGTTTAGTTTTTCCAACAAAAACACTTGACAAGGCTTTAGCCGTTTCGAGATGTCCTTGATATGTGAGTGAGTACTACTATCTTTTCTCGAATGTTGCCACCTCTAGACCACATCGAGGTACTTTACCGGTTGCACTAGTATGAGCAGTTATTTTTGAAAAAACGGAAATTGTTTTTGCGCATTTCAGATGGTTTCCGTGGAACGCATCGTAGATTACAGTGAATTACCTCTTGAACCCATTAATGAAGGCGAGAAGCCACCTGACGATTGGCCATCGGAAGGGCATCTTCATTTCAACAATGTGAGTTTTTTTTCCTTTGCTTTTCTCGGATATTTAGATTTATGCCACTAAGGATGACACTGTTCCCTGCCCGGATATGGCCTCGCGGTAAATCTGAGTTGAGGAAACATGATGTAAAACAGTTTAAACTTGTACAGATGCTTCCCGCTCTTAGCTAGTTCAG